GAGTTACTGAGTATATTTGTCTGCATTAATCTAATCTTCTAGATAGTATCTGAGCCTCCTCTTCACTTGGTGTTAGGACATGTCTAGGACTTTGCTTTCTTGGGTGATTGCTGTGCCTGCTTCCCTTTGTTCAGGAGCACATTCCTGCATATGTTTAGAAGTAAGAGGTATCTGTCCCTAAGCAGTATTTATAGGCATAAAATAGAACTGTTATAGGATACCATAACATAGTTGGTATCAAATTTCTCACATTAATTTCAAATGATCTAAAACAAAGACTTGCTCAATGTTTTGAATCTCAACACATTGAATTTTTTGCTTAAAGAAAAGCAGCAGGAAAGTCCTGAAAATCAAATAATAGTTAAAACACACTGAATCGTAGATTTATAATGTAAAAAATACATATACAGGAGAGATGCCTGTTGAATCAGTAAGTCTCAGAAACAGTCATACACTGTGATATTATCGATGTGAGAAGGAGCTAGAAAAGTTGCTCACCATGAGGAATCAGTCTCAGCAGCAGGAGGATGTTCTTAGGGAGTATACCTCATGAAGGGATGAAGGGACAAAAGATCGTCACACCACAAGCACTCAAGCCTGGCACCGCCACTTGCTGTCTACAAGGAGAATGGGCAAAAATTTCACAAAAAGTCAGTGCACAACTTCCTGCTTGTTACCACATTAATTTGTCATAATTTGACTAATTTGATCAGTAGTCAAGACTAAAGCCTGTCCTTGCTTCAACCCCCAAAGCAGGAAGACTGTTGGCTTCTTTTTTGTTGAGGAGAAATTTTTCTATCTCAAGTACTACTTCTTCATCTGAAAAATAATAGGGTTAAACTAAATGACTCCAGTTAATTAAAAACACCTCTATAACACTGAATAATTACTATTTGAAGTTTTAGGTCCTTGTTTCATGTCACCAGTACAATCACAACAGCTTTAAAGGTTACAAGGAGATATGTATTTTATTCATTTTTCAGCTTTAAAAGTCAAAGGCAGCCGGGCGCGGTGGCTCACGCCTGTAATCCTAGCACTCTGGGAGGCTGAGGCGGGCGGAGGGCGAGAGCGCAGGAGTTCGAAACCAGCCTGAGCAAGAGCGAGACCCCGTCTCTACTATAAATAGAAATAAATTAATTGGCCAACTAATATATATATAAAAAATTAGCCGGGCATGGTGGCGCATGCCTGTAGTCCCAGCTACTTGGGAGGCTGAGGCAGCAGGATTGCTTGAGCCAGGAGTTTGAGGTTGCTGTGAGCTAGGCTGACGCCACGGCACTCACTCTAGCCTGGGCAACAAGCGAGACTCTGTCTCAAAAAAAAAAAAAAAAAAAAAGTCAAAGGCTCCTCAAGAAAAGAAAATTTTCTAACTGAACATTAGATCAATGGAACGAATGGATCAGATAGCAATGTTACAGCAATCCCAGGGGGCCCCAGATTGAGGATAGATTGAATCCAGGAGAGCACGGCTTCTGCTCAGAGCTTCGTGGTTTGTCATTTGCTCAACAGTCCTCACCATGAAGAAATGAACAGACTGTGCCCATTTTCCTAAATTGTCTATTTTCAATAAAATATTTATTTTAGTGATCCTATATAATAGCACTATCCCTGGGAAAAAAAAACCTTTCAGACAACTGCCCATCTGACACTGAATCATTACAGCCAAGTATAAAATTTAATGAGATTTCTATGAAATGACTGGCATCTGTATAACATTCAGAGACTACTGCTGTCACATATTTATCATCAAATCTATTTTCAAAGATTCCTTGTATAAATTAGCTGCAGAAGCTTTTCAGGAGAACTTCTACTCCCTGACTTTTTAAAAATAAGTCCAAAGATAGCAAAAGTGGAACTATTATTAACAAGCCCTACAAAACAAAGATATTGACTGCATTAATATGTTAATGTAATTCACTCCTAAATATATACAGAAAGCTAATTGCAGCCAGCATTCACTACATAATATCTAAAAATATTTTTTCATAAATAGAGCACTGATAAGCCAATACTAATATAATAACAGTAAATTTGTCTTTCAGTTTTATTATGGTTGAAAATGTATTTAATATCTCTTAGAAGGTAAATCATACCACCAATTTTTCAGAATGTCTTTACATAACTATATTCATAAGAAATCTTTCAGATTTATAAGGATTTAGAAAAATTATCTGTCCATAGGCTATTATACTCTAAGTTTCCAATAATGATAAGCCTTATTATTAAATCATATGAAAGGTTTATTTTCTTCATTTATGGAGCTGTCATATTTATTGCCACTCTCAGCTGACTGGAAAAAAAGTTAAATATATTTTTTGATTTAACGATGTAAGAGACTACTATATAAGATTTTTTTCTAATATAATGATAATGTTCTAAAACATTCTTTTACTTGCTAATTGTTATACAACATTCCAAACTCAAAACATAACTCCTCTGTCCTTCCTTCCTTTCTTTATTTTTCCTTCTTCTTCTTTCTTCTCCTCTCTTCTTTCTTCTTTTCCTCTACAAATATTTATTGACGGTCTAATATAAGCCAAGTACCATGTTGTATATTCAGACAAGTGGAAATTATAGAAAAATAATTATGGTCAGTGTAACAAGAGTTATAATGAGCTAGAAAAGCTATACTCAAAACACTTGGATATAACATTATTACTGCCTGGCATTTGTTTGTAAATTATCTGTCTTTGCCATTGGATTTTAACACAGAGGGCTGAAACCCCCGTCTTGTCCTTCCATAAACTGTTGCCACCACCCATCTCCCATCTTTGAGCACAGTGATTAAAACATACTAGACACTCAGTAAATGTTTGTTTAGTTAAATATAATATACTTACCATAGCACATATCACAATATGGAGATAGTCTTTAAAATAATAACTTTAAAAAATGATTTTAGAAGTAATATGTTTATTATATAATCCAAACAAATATGAAGAATAAAATTTAAATAACCAATGTCCTCACCTCCAAGCAATAACCCTGGATTGCACTTTGATGTATTTCTTTCCAGTCTTTTTCTTTGCATATTTGGCAAATTACTATAATACATTTATATTTACATACAATTTTACATTCTCCTTTATTTACTTATTATACTGTGAACATTCCCCATGCTATTAAACAGTTTTCAGTATTAAGCAGTTTAATGGCTGCCTAATATTTTATCATAAGAATTTAGAATTTAAATAGTACATGATTATTGGACAAAGAGTTATTTACAATAGTTTGTAACAGCCACAATCAGTGTCCTGGGTATATAAATCTTTGTCCCATCACTAATTATTTTGCTAAGGACCATATTTGGGCAAATAGACACATACAGAGAAAAGCACTTGAGGATTTATTAATTATGCTTAAATGCCATTTTTTCCAGTTGAAGTTTTGAACAATTATTTGTATTCTCTCTTCTTTGCATCCTTCCACATTCAGCATGTGCCTATTCCAAAGGTTTCCTGTCATCCTCTGGCCCTCAATCTCATTCTCACCCAATCATCCTTACTTTTGTAGTTAGTCTCATATTCCTCTTTAGTAAAAAAAAAAAAAAAAAATGGGTATCTTCCAAAATGACCTTAATCAAATTCTCCCCTTGCTATCTCAAAAGCTTTCTTCGTTTCATTATTCCACCTCTTATTCCTTCATTTTCTTAGAGGAAAAACTGCCACTTCTAAAGGCCGTCCTCATTGTCTTTGCCCATAATCTCAACTTTCTGCACTTTCCTGATGGAATAGTCCCTAACTTCTAAATCTTTGGTCTCTGTTACCTATTGCTGGTTCTTCTCAGCCTGGGTAAAATTCTCATCCCTCATTTCCTAAAAATGTCATTTTTCCTAGGGAGATTTTAAACTCTTTCTCCATCTCACTGTACCTTTATTGTCGATGTTCTCTACTCAAAGGTTTTCACTAACTGCTCCATCACTTTGGCACCCAATCATCTTTTAGCTCCTTACAGTGTAGGTCAGCAATTTCTGCTCAGATCTCCTAATCACCAAATGCAGAGAGCAACTTGCTACATAAGAACCAATTCAGAAAATGCTTAATTTTTTTCATTCAAAATGAAAGCATTTTTCAACTTGAATTTTTCATATTAAGGAATGGGAAAATGTCAGTAAGAGAATTGCCATTGCTTTGTAGCCACTAAGATATAAATAGCTGTGCATTTTTAAAAATTCCATTAAAATTCACCATTTTAGGAATAAAACACAATGGCACATTTCTCCTCAAATCAGGTCATGATATTTGTCTTAAAAATGAAGTTATATGTGCATAGATTAGTCATCACTATTCTGTAACATTTTGTCATGATCAAAAGGGAATTATCCTTCTTTGATTTACTACCCTTCTCACCCCTACCAAAAAAATAAAAAGAATCTAATCACAGATAACAGTCTACTTTGAACTCCCCCAGAGTTCTATGTATGCCTCACTTCTGGTACATGTTCTTAGCTTGTCTATACCATCATTATTTCAGAGCCTTTCATATCTCCTTTGTTAGAGTCTGATGTGTACTTGATAGTACACATCACAGTGTTTGTTCACTGAAGGTTCCCTGAATGTGAAAATTAGCCCCATCCATCTATAGCTTTTTAGTAAGGATGGGATCATTTTTGTTCCTAATAGCCTTGCCTATCATTTTCTGTTGCTCCCTCTGTAAGCTGTGATTGATTTCAACAGCTATAGTTGATATTGACATTCACATCCTTGTGTTTGCTTCTAATTATTTTTTTTATTTCTCTATAAAATATGATGCTAATTGGTAGTTGCTTCTAGCCACAAAGTGCAAGAAAAAAATAAGATCTATAATTAAGTCCCCCTCCCCCCCAGAAATCTGGGAAACCAACTTGCATCCCGTGACTTTTTGCTCTCAATTTTCATTACTAAATACATATTTCATTAAGATGATTACACAGTTTGATGAGATGCATACTGAAAATACAATTTCTCATGGATCCTCATAATGGTTTGTACTTAACTTTATCCATTGCCTTTGACCTATAGGTCCCCCAGGTCCACCTGGGGTAGTAATTGTTGAGGAAATAACCGAAAGCACGGCCACACTCTCCTGGAGTCCAGCAGCCGACAACCACAGCCCAATCTCCTCCTACAACCTGCAAGCTCGCAGCCCATTCTCCCTGGGCTGGCAAACAGTAAAAACAGGTAAGAGGCTCTAAGGCAATGTCAGACATAATTGGAGCAGCTTCCTATCTCATGAGCTGTATTTGCTTACAATCGCAAGAGGATCTCTTTTGGATTCTGAAAACCTTGTTATTCATTACCATATTGACAAAGGTTTGCTTCTTTTTAGGAACTCAAGAAAATCAAAGTACCTTACTTTCCTCTCATTTCAATTCCCCAAACGGGGCCACATCATGTTGATTTGTTTGTTTGCTGACATAACTTTAGACTCACATAGATGTTGCAAAATCGTACAGAGTTCCTGGAGACCCCTTCCCCATCCCCTCCTCTTTCCCTAATGACAATATCTTTTATAACCGTAGTACAATTATCAAATCAAGAAGCTGATATTGCTACAATGCTATTAACTAAACTCCAGGCCTTATTCAGATTTTACCAGTTTCAATATACAAATTTTTAGTGTATATTTCTATGAAATTCTATGAAATTTTATTACATAGATTTGAGTAACCACCAAGACTATCTGCCTTCAGTTCCTTATGCTACCCCCTTTATAGTCACATATTTGTTTTATTTATAAAAAGAAAATCTAGCATAAAATTACATCATTTAAAAGCAGTGCAGCATTTTAATACCTGCTTCTAAGATGTTTGCATTATAGTTGCATTATTTAAAAAATTATTTTCATACCTAATGGTTTTCTTTTCATGTTATAACTAACCTTCCCCTATCTCTCCAAATATGGCTATCCACCAGATATATGCAAAATCACACTCACTTGATTGTTATTAGACACTTATTTAACATGTTGGTCTTTGCAAAGTGTACAATAAGTCTATAAAATGGAATCTTCAGAAACAGTTGTTCATACTGAGTAAGGATTTATTCTTCTGTTTTATTTTAAAATTGATTTACCTGTTTAGAAGTGAAATATAAAAATCAGTAAAATATTTGAGTGAAATACCATAAAACTCAACCAGAATATTGTGGGAGTGGAATGGTTCATTTTATTGCTTCAGTAAATAAAATTTGAGCAGAAACTTATTTCTGTATAAAACATTACATTTGTGAAGAAAGGAAATATATTTATGGACATGCAGGGTATAATTCAAATTTTTCTTGATATTTAGGCTTCTGTATTAAATAAGACCTGTTTGATTATCATTTTAGTGTGTATATACATGTTTATTATGCATGTATACATATTTACTTTGTAATATATGTAATTGTATTAGCTTTATTCCTGACTCTATTAAAACCCTGTGATACCTCTGCAGACCCCAAAATTGGGAGCATCTCTGGGTATGGTAGTTAATTCAGGAAGGACACAAATTCAAACCACTCAAGCAGAATTACTGAAGAATTCTTATAACCTCTACCCCAGTGCTTCTATCTTATTCTTAGTATGACAGCTCACACCTTTTACTCTGCAGCTAAGAAACAGACTTACCTTCAGGTCTGGGGTTGTGCACTCACCTAGCCCATCCTCCTGTCTGCATCCTTGCTCCCTGCCCACTCCTACCACCCTACCCTACCAACTTACTTTTGGGGAGGTTTTCCTTGTGGCCACATTGCAATACATGTGTATGTTTCTTTACTCATCCCATACCCATGGCAATCCAGGACATCTCATCCTCCACCTTCTACATCCATGCTTTCCTAGCTACACTTACTCTCTGATTCATGTCTTTGGGTTTCTTTCTTGGTTTACCTGTTTCCACCTTTTGTTTGTGTGTGTGTGTGTGTGTGTGTGTGTGTGTGTGTGTGTGTGTAGGACTTAGGAATTTGGAGTAAATGTTGTTTATTGTGTGTATTTGTTTTAGAAGCCCCTAATACAAAATTGTATCTTTATCTTGCTAACAGAATGCTGGAAATAGTTTAAAGTTGAGAGTTCTTTTTTAATCCAGTTCAGTAAGTATAGTACTTATTAAAACAAAACAAAACAAAAAAACCACTTAACCTATGGTTATGCTGTATTTATAGGGAAATATAATTTTTTATGAATATATTTCTATAAATTATCAATCTTATTCACTCTTCATAGTTCTAGGACTCTCACCTAACTCATTTCTCCAAAAGCCAGCATTAATTGCAGCTATTCAAGAGACATGCCATCTTCAGGGCAGGCCTGCTGAGGAGCAGTCCTCAAGCTTTGCGTACTCCAAAATAGCTGTTTTAAATGCTCTCTGGTTTAAGCTTAATCTGATCACAACTTCTTTCAGGGCTATGATGAGGCAGGAAGTCTCTTTGGAGCCACACCAGCTCCACTGGGGTGAGGGCCTTTTGTTTTCATAGTTGCTCCCACAATCTAAATCAATTTAGTCAAAATAAACTCTAATCCAAAAATACCTAATAGAAAAAAAGATAGATGTGGAGTAACTCTCTGATTGAGTTAATGTAATTTATAATCTATTATTTGATTGAAGCACCTAAAGTTCCTTTATGTACCAAAACGATATAAAGAATAGCAAGTTCCTCATTTTTGGCAAATGATGTAATAAGTTGCACATGAACCTTTCAGAGGAGTACATCTTGGGGTTAATTTATGAACACTGCTTCCTGTAAATGAGACTCAAATGTAAATGGGAATAATGTATTCGTCTTGAAAAAAGTATGAAAACAACCATAGCAAATAGATAATTTCACTTGCAGACCTTTTTCTTTCAAACAAATTGCTTTTAAGTTAGAAACCTGACTTTCTTCTTCATACTACTGAGCAGTATTAGCTGATCTAGTTGGTGATTGTGTCTACTTGGGAATGTCAAATCACTTATAATTATAGAATTGATTAGTGTTTGTTTATGTAACTCAGATGTGTCTTAAATAGTATTCTATAGGTGGATATGTCTTCTATCTATGGATAAGTTTTCCACAGATTGATTAGGTGTTTAAATTTTTTAATTTGATAGACTTATTTAATGTTTTATTAATTAAATTCTTGGATGTAATTCTTTTAATAGGAAAGGCATTTCAGCAAGAGTCTTCCCTTGAGTTAATAAAAGATCCTCCACTGTCATGTTCTCTCTGAAACACAATGTATTTTTTGAAACCAAGTTGTCCCTACTGTTCCAGAAAGAATATCTTCATACAAAGATGCTATAAAGCTTTCAAAAATATTATTTTGGTATAAATTATACTTTATCCTTAGTCTCCACAATATTGCATTTCAAATCAAAGTCTTAATTTTATTTTTAGAAAGGTCATTTCTAATTTGTTTCATATTGCATTATATTTTGTCAAAACTATTAGTACCTTCAACTCATGCTTTTACAATTATTTTACATTACATGCAAGTAATGTAGGATAGGATATTTTTATATTCACTTTCTTTTTAACATAAAGCCTGTAATAATTTCCTTAAGATTCAAACAAATTAATTAATATTGCCAATTTTAATCACACCATGCAATTTGAACTCTACTTTCATTCGTTCAATAAAAATTTATTGAGCACCTTCCAGGTAGTATTCTAGGCACTTGTGATATATCAATAAACAACAACAACAAATAAATCCCAGCCATTGTGAAGATTGTATTCTCATGGGTGAGGAAAAACAGTAAACAGAGAAGAAAATAAGCAAATAAATTACATAGTATCTTAGAAGTTGATGAGTGCTATGGGAAAAAAAAAAAAACATGTGGAATAAGAGAAATCAGAAGTACTATGGTAGAGTTAGTGCATTAGTGCACTTGGGATGCCATAACAAAATACCATAGACTGGGTGGATTAAACAACAGAAATTTATTTTATTACAGTTTTGGAGGTTGGGAAGTCTAAGATCAAGGTGCTGACCCATTCAGTTCCTTGGTATGGGTTATTTTCTTGGCTTGCAGATATCTAGCTTTTCATGTCCTCACATGACAGAGAGAGAGCATGCATGCACACAAGAACTCTGGTGTCTCTTTTTATGAAAACACTGAGATCACTGCCCGACCCTTATGTCTTTATTCAACCTTAATTACTTCCTTAGAAGCCTCATCTCCAAATATAGCCACATTAGGCATTATGGCTTCAACATATCAATTTTAGAAGCATGCAATTCAGTCCATAGAAGAAAGGTTGCATTTGAAATGAAGTGGTCAGAATATGTTTCATTGAGAAGGTACATTTGAGTGAACTTTAAAGGAGGTGTGGATTTAGTTATGCCAAGATCTAGGGGGAGATAGTCCAGGTAGACGAAGCAACCAGTACAAAAGTATTAGAAGCATTACATACAGCAGCATTAGAAGACCAGTGAGGCAGGGGCAGAATGAGTTTTAAGGAGAATGGTAGAAGATGAGCTCAGAGAGATATTGGCAGGACCAAGTCATATGGGTCTTGGGTTTTCATCCTGAGAAAGATAGAGAACATTGTAGGATTGCTATTTTAAGTCTTATCTTTTAATATAGTCATTCAAGCTATGTTGAAAATAGACTATGGGAAGGGTTAGTGGAGAGTTACTAAAGCAGTTAGGAAGATATTGCAGTTGAGAGATGATGATGTTTCAAAGTGACAGAAGTAGAAGGCATAAAAATGGTCAGGATTTGAAAATATTTGGAAGTTAAGGCCCACAGAATTTCCTGATAAACTTGATATAAAGAGTATAAGAGAAAAAGAATGAAGGATGACTGTAAGATTTTTGACCTGACCAACTCAAGGATGGATTTACCATCAATTAACATAGAGAAGCCTTTATGATTGGAACAGATTGGGTTGGGAATGAGATAAGTAATTCAGTTTGGAACATGATAAATTTGATACATCTTTTAGACATCTTAAATGGGTATTTAAAATAGGAAGTTGGATATATGTATGAGTCTGGAGTTTAAGAGAGAGACTTATGATAAAGTTGTATGTTAGAAAATTATTGGCATACAAATTATATTTCAAAACATTAACTGCATGTCAACTCCATGAAAGTAAGTATAAAATAAAGAATAAAAGACCATAAAAATTGAGCCTGAAAACATTCCAATAGTAGGAAGTTATGGAGGAGAAGAAAAACCAGCCAAAGGAGACAGAAAGATAGCAATCATCGTAGTAAAAGGAAAACCAAAATAATGTGATGTCCTGGAAGACAAAAGTATAAAGTCCATCAAGGTAAAGAGGCTAATCAACTTTGTCAAATGCTGCTGACATGTCAAGTATAATGAGGACTGAGAATTGCTTATTGATTTTAGTAACATGGAGGTCAATGGTGACCTTGACAATAGCAGTTTTATTGGAATGATAGGCATCAATGGGTGACAAAAATGGGTTCAAGAGAGAATGGGAGAAAAATTAACATATACAACTCTTCTAACTAGTTTTACTGCAAAGAGATGTAGAGAAATCAATATATTCTGAAGTCATAGATGCCATGATTTGCTTATACATTAGTAGAGCAAGGGAGAATGAAAGGAATCCTCAGTAGACCTAAAATTTTGGCTGCAACATCCATAAGAAAGCTGTTGTCAATCCCTGAATAAAAATGCTGAAGAACACTATTAAAGTAGTAATGTCTAACAGGCCATTGAACATATGAGTCTGGATTCCAGGGAGGAAGTGCATGGCTGAAAATACTTGGGTCATCAGCATGTAGAGGGCATTTAAAACCAGAGGACTGGATAAGATCACCATGTAGAAAAAAAATAGAAAAGAGTTAGTTGAACTTGGTTGCACCTGGAAAATGAAAAGAAACCAGCAATGGAGAGTGACAAGGCATAGTGAGGTAAGAGAGAAACAGAAGTTAAGTTTTGAAAAGTGTTTCAAAGGGAAGTGTGATCAATTGAGTCTAAGGGTGATGATAGATAAAGTAAGATGAAGAACAGAGACCTGATCATAAGGTTTCAGTAACAGAGACCATTGGTAATTTTGACAGGAGCCAGTATGGTAGAAAGCTGGAGGTAACAGCCTGATTGGAGTGGGTTCAAAAGAGAATGAAGGAAAATATTGAAGGCAGTAAGTAATAGCACAAATAGTTCTCAAGTTTTGATATAAAAGAAACAGATAAATTGGGTGAAGGCAAGAAGGAGAAGAAATGTTAAGAGAGCTTAGTTTTTGCTTTACATGGGAAAACACCTGTGTACTTGTAACAGGAAACATCCATTAGAGACATCTGTGGGGGAAGAAGAAAGGGCTGGTTCTTCTTCTCCACAATACCTTAAGAGGGCCACCGCTCAAGAAGGTTAAAACTTTCTCAGTTTTTATTAGAGTAAAAAGTTGAGAAAATGTTCAGAGAAGAGACTGAGTATAGAAGGGAGTTTGCTAATGACAGATCATGAATTCCAAAGGTCACAGTGGAAGAACTTGAAGAATTAGAGATATGAGCTGATCAGAAGAAGAAATATACAGATTATGTGGAGATTAGAATAAAAGGAATGAGGGATGGCCCAGGTGTCTAGAGTTACTTTGTGATTACTGACATAAATAGTAAGGTCAACCCTGGTGGACCCAAGGAAAATATTGATGATACAGTGTAGGTTGGGGCTTATTAAGGCCTGCGTGTCTGGGAATCTTTTCTTCCCATCTTATGTTTAGCAAGCATAGCTCAGGATTTCGCCAAGGTATGGACTGAATTGTGGCTCCTTTTTCCCCCCACCTCTTGCATTCCAAGTATATTTCTCAATTGCCAGTGTAGCAAGAATGGACAGACTTTTTTCTACATCTTCCTGTTACTGCTAAAATATCAGCTCCACAGTACTGTGACATTTGTCAGGCATCCCACACTGCCTATTCACTGATCATTTGCCTTTCTCAGAGCTGCTCATTTGGTAATGTGTTTTTGGTACATTTCAGAAGAGATTTTCATGGAAAATCCAAGATGATTTCATTCCACCTTGCCATAGAAAAACTGAACTGAGTCATCAACTCAGGATCCCCACCCCCTTGGCTTCACCACCATGCTTACACAGAAATCTAGGACTGATGTAAATCCAGATGATTTTTGCACACCACAAAGGAGATTCTCCATGTTCTACCTTTTCACCCCTGTAACATATATTTTTTCTAGGAATATTTCTTAGACAGAAGAGAGGAGTGAACAAGAAAAACAGTCCCAAATAGAGCATATATGCTGTGTAAAAAATACTTCACACCATGGTAATTGTATTGACAAACAATTTCATGCTTTGATAAAAATGTAAATGTAGTACAAAAGTCACTCTAAGGAGAGTTCAGAGCTTCCACTTAGATACCACAAGCTGTGTTTTTAGATTAGAGAAGTATATTCTTAATTTGCAGCTTGGAACTGCCAAGTGATTAAACATGTTTGCCAGAACAAGGAGAGGCAAACAGCTCAAGAAATTTCCTAGAAATTGAAGAAAAACTCTTTGATTAAATTTTAGTTCTACTTGGCCCCTTATCTGGGGTTGAGGAGTTGACAAAATGATTTTTCCTGTAGACAATGGCAAGTTGTGTATAAAGATAAGATGAAAGCATTCTAATTTGCTGCAACAAACTTAGCCATAGGCAAGGGCTTATTGTCTGAAGACTGATTTTCACTTGCTAATGACACTGGAGGTGACACCATGACCCTGTGTTATAAGGACATAACTATCTGCTTACTGATTCTGTTAGTAGTGGTGATATTCTTGATTGTTATTTGTAGCATTTTTTTCAGTTCTCCTAATGACATGAAATCTCCTTCCTTTGTAGTCCCAGAAATCATAACAGGGGATATGGAGTCAGCCATGGCTGTGGACCTAAATCCCTGGGTAGAATATGAATTTCGAGTGGTGGCCACCAATCCAATTGGCACTGGAGATCCAAGCACCCCATCTCGAATGATTCGCACAAATGAAGCAGGTAAAAATTTGGGAGAGTCAGAATACTATTTGGTGTGCCTCTAATGACTTTGGAAGCAAGTTGAAGTAACTGTGATTATTCCATTGCTTGCCTTCGTAGAATTTGTCCTGATTCATCTACTTAGACATCATAAAATCATTTCCTTTAAAATAATTCTTCTATTTTGTTTTCAGACCTTTTTCTCCTTGTTTCCACAAATAAAGTCATCTAGATGCTTCAATTTTCTCCCAACCCTTACACCCATCTTCAAGTTACCATGAAATTGAAGCATTGAAATTTGAAGCAATTAATTTATTCCTCTAATAATATACTTGTTCAATGCAGCATATTCATGAAATTCAGAATAAATCAGCTCACCTTCTTTTTTTCCACTTATAACACTTTCCTTTAATTACAATGTACTTAGAATTATTTTATGTTGCCCTTCACCATCTAACCTGTATAAATCACACTTTACACAAACAGGCATTCCTTTGTCTCCTGCCATCTCGAAGTCTGTGTGTAAAATAAATATTCATCTGCTTTTTGACTTAGAAAACAGCATTCTTCTGGTCTTTTAGAATAAGTATCTCTGATCAAATGTTTCTAATGACCACATAAGTGGAAGTAACAGCTTTATTTAAAAATAAATTTTAGAATTTCTTGCCTATCACATGGAAAGAGAAGAAGAAGAAGAAGGAAAGAAAGAATAAAGAGTTTTCGGGTAGATTTTTGATTACTTTGAACAAAGTCTTACTAACATTCATCTTTTATGTCCCTATACAATTTTATGTTGAGAAAGTACTTGGTAAGGCATTTACTTAGGAAAAATACAAATATCAATAATGTTGATGAGAATAATGTGAAAACAATTTTAAAAATTAGTGGGGGAGAGGAATAGAGATCAGATACAAGGAGAAAAATAACCAAATTTTAATGTTTTTATGCTCAATGCATCAATGATAATGTTTTTATGCTCAATCTCAAATAAAAGTTCACCGAAATGAAGATTTGTCTTATTTGTTCACTGTTCTATATTGTAACTTAGAACAGTGTTTGGCATTGATATTCGATATATTGTATTTTAAAGGGAATATTTTTTTTCTTTCCTTTATATACCCCTAACCACACCAATACCTAGGTCAGAGACACATGTATTTGGAAGACTAAGAATTAATCGTGTCCATTTTGTATGATAATTATGGAATTTGACCAAAGATATGACTTTTTACTTCTAACAAATTAAATGATTATAAGTAATAATTAAAACAAACAATCAAAAGAGTTGATTCTTTCTCTAAAGCATACTCTGGCCTTTTAAAAAAAATCCCAAATGGTAAATTTATTGTAGTAAGTGCAAATAACCATAATACAAAAGATGTTCAGTTTTTTTCCAATATAAAAATTAAACAACCGAGAAAATAAAAGGTAAAGTAGCCTAACTATTTCAGAAAAGATTCATCCATAGAAAATCCAACCTTTCTACTTTTGTGATTTGCCTATTACAGGTTGCTTTTTCTGCTACTTTTTCAATAGTGTGAATTTTAAATTGAACATTAATTGCCTGGTTGGATTTTCACACATCCATAAAATCAGCCATGCTTTTATTGTGTACAGGTGTTCATTAATTAAGAGCATAACAGGTTAGTCGTTCTTCATTTTATGTACTCACTGTGTAGATATTGAAATCACTGCCAATAGTTGTACTTATGCTCACATATTTTCTAAAAAGCCCTTCCTTTACTTTGCATATTGTTAATTGTGTTTAAACAAAGGCAAAGATTACTGCCTAAATCAGAGACTCTCTATAAATATTCATTTCAAAAATAAATAATCCATTTGGGATGAATAATCCTTTTAAACTTTTTACAGCATGAATCTCCTTGTGCTATTAAAAAACATTTTAGCAAAAAACACTCTTACATTTCAAGCTAAATTATATTCTGATAATGCATTTTAAAAGACTTCTTCATCTATTTCTGCAGCTACCTCAATCATGTATTGCCTGCTTTTCTATTTTATCATGAGTTCTATATACATGGCATACTTTAGTCCATTACAATCTTATGGAAGGAAAGAGAAATAGCATGAAAAATGCATGAAGTACTCTCCTTTGAAAGCAAGTTGAAGAATGTTTGGATTGCCTTCTTTTATGCTTCTTGTGCATTGGTACCACACAGGGCTAGAGCCACTAATGGTGTTGAACCAAGTATTGAGTTTTGTGCCTGTTTTGTCAGGCGACACAGATTAAAAGGGACACCAATATCTTGAGACATCCTCTCAAATGATGCACTCTGCCTCTATTAAGTACATATCCTGTATTTCAAAAGATAATCCTGTTCTTATGGGCCAACTAAACTTTGAAAATTGACAGAGCTGCTTGAGAGAGAAAAGGTCTCACATTTAGGATGTCGAATTGAAAGTTTTATGCTTCTTTGAAAATCTCTTATTTAATAGAATATTCTAAATTCCAAAGAAGCCTTAGTAAAGCATTTGTACCTTAGAATTACTCCTTTCCCACAGACCAAAAAAATAGAATTTTTCTTGCAATTTTCCTCTAGAGTATACTTTGAATTTTCCAGCCACCAAAACACTCTTGGTAGTCAACAAAGATGAGATAAATGAATTTGATCCAACTTCTTGGTATTAGGATGTCAAAATAGTAATACAAATGTATATTTTTTTTACTTTAATGCATATTTGTATTTATTTATAATGCAATTTTCTTATAAGTTTTAGTTAGAAATTATATAGGTATGTAGGTAGGTAGGTAGATAAAAAGAGATAATCCCATGTTTAATATCTGAAATGTGTTACTATCATCAAAAGAGTATGTAAATTTGGGATAAGGTAATGTAAATGCTTTCTCTATTATTTAAAAAGATGACACTCAAGAGACAAAAATCACATTTCAGAAAATGAATTTGAAATATACATTATATTAGAAATGGAAAAATATAAAGTGAATACGATAGCAGCAATTCTCTCACTTAACTGAACTTTAATATTCTATAAGTTACATATTTGTAATACTGTTGAAAGTTACATGAAAGAGAGAGAAGATAGACTATGTAACTTGTCATTCACAAAAGTTTGTTCTCTATAGCATAAAATTTCTATTATCTCCAATGATCTTGATAGAAATCTCAATATTTGCAGTTTCTATATTTTAAATTTTAATGAACTATATATACACATGCATGTATTCATGTACATGCATATATGTAAATGTTATTTTTTAAAAGAAAGAAAGTTTTACCTATAATTCAGAGTTTGAGTTTAGAGTTGGATTAATGTTCTACTATGCCACTTAATAGTAGTGTGAACATAGGCAAGACGTGTACATCATTTAAGGCTTGATGTTCTCACTTATAAAATGGGGATAATATAACAACCTACTCCTTCTGACCATTGTATTAAATAAGATATTGCATGTAAGGAGCTTAGCATAGTGCCTGGCACATGACAAATGCTCGGTATTAGAAACAATTTTATTATTATCACCACCACCATCATAAATTTAAATGAGCTGTTACTTTATGAAATGGAAATTTACAAAGTAGTAATCATGAAAAAGAATATCTTTTCTTACTGAGGGAATATTTTCAGGTTAAGCAAGTGTTTGCTGTTATAGTAAGAGCCCTCCAGTCTCTTGGCTTGCTGCTCTGCAGTTGGCTCCTCCAAGACCTTCATTGTGAGAAGTCCCCGCTGCAGACTGTGAGCCCTTGTGCCCTGCCACCCAGCCCACCCAAACAATGGGAGGGTCAAAACTTTTCAGAACATGATACACACTGCAGAGCATGCCTCTCTGCTAAATCATCTTCCCATGATGCTTTCTCATTCCGATCTAGCGAGTACTGAGTCTATCGGGCGATGCTGATATTGTCCCAACATGTAGTCATTTTCTTTGGTCCCTATAGCAAAGACAGGCAAAAAGAATTGACAAAGTGTTGAATGAAAGACCATATTTAAAAATATTTTTCACATTCAAATAGATTTCCAGTTGCTCTATACATTGTTTTCTGCCCCACCACTCTCTTTTGATTCAAATGGAAAATGTCACATACATATTTCTGGCTACACAAGGAAAAATATTTTTTCTGCATTTAATAGATCAATGCTCCATGAGATAAATGTATTATGTAAACAATAAGAAGAAAATCTCCCCTGAAAATCTCTCTTAGCACTTTCTGCACTGTATTATAGTTACATAACTGGTTACTAAACAGACTGAATTCCACTGTAAAGTATATACATAAAACAGTTGTACTCTTCTCCCACCATTGCTCTCTAATATGGTCCATATGATCAATCTCCAGCCTCAGTCCAACTATATCTCAAGCACTAAAGGTACTAGAGCTGTCTCATTTTCAGATATTAAAAAATTTCAGTTTACTTTAAATAAAATTTGTAATCTCGCATCCAATTCCATGTTCTTCCCTTCTATCCCAGCACAGGCCTCCCCCAAGAGCTGTGATCTGTCTTTTCCTCCTTTGTACTTCTTCCTCTCTTCCTTCTAGCTGTTGGTCTGGCACTTCCTAGGTCAGAAAAGAAGGAAGAAACTACTTAGGTAGTACACTTTGTGTTTCTCACATGGGTGTTAAAATGCTCCATGTTATGACATTTGTCCACATGCTGCTTCTATCTCTTGCAGGATGCATTGAGTTCTTTGGACACATCTTACCCCCTAATAGGCATCCTTATTGGGTGTGATCCCAACAAGCCTGTTTAAGCCCATCTCCCATAGAGTCCACTTTGTCCGCAATTACTGTTTCACATCCCTGACCTGCTGCACTCTAGAAATACAGTATATTCTCAAGAATTATTTTGACCTCTGCTCTAGTAGCACCATTTGTGAGAGAGAGAAAAAATACACACACACACACACACACACACACACACACACACACGAATATATGAGCTGAATAGGAGTAATGGGAAAGCATCATAAAATTGGTTTCCCTATTTCTTAGCAAATCTATGGTTTTCTCCAGTCAACTTCACATTAGCATCTGAGGTTA